ATGGTATCGATTTATCCGTAATAACAAACTAGGGATGTTGCGAATGTGGATTTTTAGACGTCCGCGGATGCGAATATTTAACAGCTAACATCCGGATGTCTAGTATTTTTAAGAAACAACTAGAATATAGCATAATGGCGAGATCGTTGTTTAAACAGCGCTTACAAGTTAACCCAGATACATATGTCAGGTTTTTCTAAAGCCTTTTAAAAAGAACTAGAGTGCCAGTTACTGTCGAAATTCGACAGTTTTTCTAGTTTTAGAAGCCTTGGAGAGGGTTTTTAACTTAACACGTAGCAAAACTTATACAGTAAAAAATTAACTAACCGAAAAACCGTCTGCTTTGGAACTAAAACGTAACTAAAATTTTTTTATCTGAGAAGGTCTTTGGAAGACTTCGGCAGGACTTGGAATTGACCCGATACATTCAAGTTTATCGATAAATTTCAATGATTTGATACATATCGATAGTTCGATGAATTTCAAGAACACTAAAATCCGATAACTCAACAAAATTCGTTAACTCGACCAATTTCGATAACTGTGGAATTCGAGGGCTCGATAAATTTCGGTAATTCAAAAATGTTAATTCTGTGGATACCTTTATAAATTTTTACTTTTGACAGCTTCACATTTTTCGAAATCTATCTAATCATTTTGATAACTCGTTACACTCTGTTAACACGATAAAATTCGATAAGCAGTGATAAACCGATAAGCTTATATAACCTTGAATTTTCGATAAATCGATATATTTTGAAAATTCCATAAACTTCGATTCGTTGACCCAACCAATTTCAGTAGATCAATAATTATCGATAACTCTGTAAGTTGAAAGAACTCCATGCATTACGACACCTCGAAAAAATTCGTTAAGTCTATAAATGATGATAATTCAATAAATATCAACAACTTGATACCTTTCTTTAACTTGACAAATTTCGTTAATCCCACACGTTTTAATAGCTCGATAACTATCCGTAAATTTGGACAACTCAATAAACACTGATCAGTTTGAATAATTCGATACGTTGCGATAACTTAATAAGCATGGATAAATTTCGATAATTATAAACTTCGACGATTCGATAAATTTCAGTAACCTTTATGGCTGATTTTATTTCGATTCGATTTCAACTCTGTTACCCTAATTCTTATGTATTTCTCATTGTCTCCATTTTCGTCTTTATCTTCACTTTTGCCTTTTTTGTCTTCATCGTTATCACTTGTTTCTTCATCTTCATATTTATCTTTATTTCAAAGTTTAATTTCAAATACGAAGTAAAACAAAATGCGAAACAGCTTAAATTGAACAGGTTGCAAAAACAACCATACACAAATATGGAAATTTTTAAACGACGATTTTCAACCAATTTCGAAACTATAAAAACTCTCCTCATCTACAGAAAATTACCTTTCCAACGGTGTTTTTGGTTTTGAAATCGGTAAATTTACCTTGGTCTTCTTCTTTGTTTTTATCTTTCACATCTTTGCTTATATCCTTTTCTTTTTCTATTCACGTAGATGAGATGAGGTGCGATGACGTGATAAGATGTGACGTGATTTTATGTGATGTGATAGGATGTCATGTCATGTGTTGTCATATCCTCTGATGTCATTTCATATGATGTCATATCATGTGATGCCACGTCATGTAATGCCATGTCATGTCATACGATGTCAAGTCACGTGATGTCATGCCATATAATGTGATGTCATATCATATCATGCCATGTCACGGGATATCGTGTGATGTGATATCAAATTATGTGATGTAACATCATGTGATGTCTCTTCATAATGCGATGTGATGTCACTTAATGTGATCACATTCCATGTTCCGATTATTATATCGATAACCCTGTTGATAACTGTGTCGATAAAAATACCGATAACAATATCCATAAACATATAGAAAAATACATCGATTGCAAAATCGATTAATTCATCGATAAATATAACAATCATCAGTATCGATTATTGTACATATCGATAACAATATAAATTACTAAATCGATAACAAAATCAATTATTTAATCGATTATTATACCGATAACAATATACATTATTGTATCGATAACAATATAGATTATTATATTGATTATTATATCGATTACAATAGCGGTTATTTAATCAATAACAGTATCGATAACAACATCAATTATTTTGTCGATAGCAATATCGATTATTATATCGATAGAAATATCGGGTTTTATATCGATAACAATATCGATCTTCAACCTCATCCTTTTCTTCATATTTATCTTTATTTTTGCATATTCCTCTTCACCTTTACCTTAAAGTGTTTAAATTTACTTTGACCTTCGTTTTTGCCTGTACCTCTAGGCATCTTTGTTTTTGTTTTTATTCTCAAACCGCTAAACCGCTGAGAACCATTTCCATGTGCATTATTTCCCTTGAATTTGACAATTTACTCCCAACCAACCAACTGCCGCTAAAGAAGTTTACTTCATAAATTCAAGAAATATTCATACCCTTTCAGTTACCATAATTCTTATGTATCTGTCATTGTCTCCATTTTCGTCTTTATCTTCACTTTTGCCTTCTTTTTTTTGACTTCTTCGTTATCATTTATTTCTTCATCTTTATATTTATCTTTATTTCAAAGCTTAATTTCAAATGTGTAGTGAAACAACAGGCGAAACATGCCAAATTGAACATGTTGCAGCAACATCTATTCACAATTCGAAAATGTTTAAGCAACGGTTGTGGCCGTAATTTTCCACCAATTGTGAAACCATAAAAATTCTGCTCATCTACGGAAAAATGCCTTTCCAACGGTGTTCTTGGTTTTGATATCGGTTCGGTAGAATAGCCAAACGAACGGAGACAAAATTTATGTTAGCGTATTAATATATAGATTCTTCATTCTCATTCCTTTGGCAATTTCAGAATTTGGGGAATCTGTAACTTTATCAGCGTTTTTCGATTTTAGTTTTTGTAATTCATTTTTAGTACTTTCTTCTGCGGCTGGTTTGAAAAACTTGTGCTTATAACGAGCTATGTAAATAGGTCGATATGGAAAATAAATTATTATGTTTGAACAAAATTCTGTTTTAAAAGTCGTGGCTGCCAGCCGAATCGGATCAGAATATTTTTTTTTTTAAAGCACCCCGTTTTTGATAAGCATTTGAATCTCAGATGGATACGTAATTAAAGGTCAGACCTATAGCTTTTTAATTATTTGAGCATCGATTCTCTTTATAGCGAGACGTTGATCATCTCTGCTGGAAATCCATATTGAAGAAGCTTACGCTTTGACTTTAAATAGCAAATAAGGGACAGTTTTACCACTGAAATTTTTAGCCAAGGATCCAATGTATATCCCTATGAAAAAATATTGCCCGACAAGTAAACAAAATTACTGTTTTTAAAATGTTTCCTAAAAATAAATTCCCCAAAGAGCCCCATTTGAAATCATTGAAACGAATATATGTAACATCAAAAGCAAATTACGAAAACTTGGTAAAGAATTACAGTTCATACTTTCTTCTTTTGTGTCTAGTAGTTTTTTTTAAGATTGGTCCAAAAAAATCATAAAAAGAAGGAAACAAATGCAGGTATTTAAAGCACAGAAAAAAAAATAGTATTAAAAGGACTATGTTTTCTTTGACGTACGTCAAATGTCAAGTAGAAGTGGGAACTTGTATTACTGCCCCTTGATAGCGGGTTATATCGCTTAAGAAATAAAAGGGGAAATTCATCTAAACGTGTAAATGCCTCGCGACCATGCCAACCCCGTAAACTTACTTCATTGTTTATGGAAAATCGCTTTATTTACGCGGTTTACGCAATTACGAGGCATTTACGCGTTTCCATGAATACCCATAATATGTTTAAAGACATTTTTATCAAAGCTGATAAATATGACATTTGACCAATTTTGTTACACAAATACTCCCACGACCACAGGCCTAAATATTGGCTACAATTTGTCATTTTGTTTGCCATATATACGTTTCATCGGTGCACTTGCACAACATTCGCAAAAGCTCCGTATTGATTATTGCGAATGCGAATGTTAAAATTAATGCCGAAGCTCCGCGGTTGCGAATGCGAATATTCGCAACAAACCACTATCGATATCTCGGTACCAAAATTTCTTTTCAAAATAGTTGACCTGTGATATAATTCAACGTTGGAATTAGCGCATTCAATCCTCGGATCCCGAGATTTTTCAGGATTTTGACTTTATTACAATTTTAGTATTTTAAAAAATTAAACTGCACAGATTGATTGTCGCCACATGTGGTCTTACGTGAGGCATAATGCAGCTTATTACAAGAGTCCATAATTTAATGTTAAAACATTTTTATAGTATTCTTAAATATCCATATTAAAGTAAAAAAACGCTCATATTGGCAGAAAGTCAATTTCCACTAAACCATGCCAACAAAGTAAAATGGAGAACAAATCTGCCACACTGAAAATTTCTATTGTTTACAATTGCTACCAGATTTTTCGGTCTTACATAGTTCTTGCACAAAATGTTTGAACAAGTAAAGTTATTCTGGCAGGTTTTGAAATGACTCAAGTTCACTTTGAATCCAAATTTTGGTGTTCTGTATACGTATGTATATGGTTTTTCATGTCACACACAACATCACTTTCACTCTGTAAATAATAAATCACTAAAACTCTCAGCTTCCCAGAGCTGATTTCGGGACATAGAAAACTGCCCTGGATCCTAGGATTGAATACCCTGGGTAGAATACGATTAGATATCTCACATTTTTATCGATATTGAGAACTAAGTCCCCTTTTTGTACACAATGCCATCATTCTCTACAGTTTCTCTAATCGCCCTCTAGCCTTCGAATCCTTTTCTAGTCGTTATCTAACCTAAATGTTTGTTGGGTAACTGCTGAAGTGCTTAGGCCATAAGCATCGCGCCTTTAATCTCATATACAAAATAGGCTATACATACATATATGTATGTGCATACTTACTAAACTCCTTTAGCTTGTGTTAATACGTACTGTTTAGCCTTCTGATGACACCCACAGCATTGAATATTCGTGGTTGGTGCAACATTATGTTGTGTTTTATTATCCCAGTTATATTGGTCAGTTTTTGATAATCGCGTCCTGACGTCTTGATTTTTACTTTGCAAATTCTGGCTACTTTTATATTCATTGCCGTTAAGAGATCGTATTTTGTGTCCAGAAGTACCCCAGATAAAATCGTTTAAGTCCGGAAAGCACTCATCGAAATTAGAATTCGTACTTTTTACAGATCCAGAGGTACACTTATTTATAGATCTAAATGAATCAGAACCGACAGAAGCTCTCTCGTTGATTGCATTTCGTGCAGGAATATTGGTTGTATTTGTGGCGGTTTCGGTTTGTATATCAACTGCACACATAACTTCATCGAAACCGTCATTGAAAAAATTATCCAATGTCAAGTCGGGAACTACCGAACTTTCAATATCCATAGGAACTGAAGACTGATCAATTAATGTTTGTTCACTTGCTGCAGAAATTATAAGAAATTAGTAAGTAATTAAGTAAGTATTTTAGGAATGAATACACTATGCGACAGCCAATTTTACACACGAAAAAATCAATGTATTCAAAAACTGGGGGCCAAATATAGAAATCCTGCGTTTTTAGTTTTTTTGCCTGACGTCAGGATTTTTTTTAAAGTACTTTGAAACTTCTAGAATATGATTGAATACAAAAAGTTATTCAAAAGATTCGGTGCATTGTAGAATAACAATATGGGTATCAATTAAAAGGAAAAATTCTGTTACAGTTACAATATACATAAATGAAGATAGTGGAATCATGAATGCGCTCTAAAAGCACAAACTTACCGTATGATGTACGGTTTAAATACTTTGACTGCTTTGTATATAAGGGCGTAGCCAGCCTTTCACCTAGGGGGGCTGGAGTTTATATAGAGGGAAAAAATGTTTTTAATTAAATTTTTTTTGTGTATATGAATCGAATTTTTTGGGTTTAAAAAAGTATAAGTTTTCTGGTATCCTTTACAACGATACCAATTTTCTAAAAACCAGGTTGAAATTTTTTTGTTTAAAATATTTTTTTTTATAATAAAGGTATTTTTTTGTTTTTAAGTGGTTTTTCTCAAATTTTTATATATGAAGTATACAAATATGCATACCAGAAGAAAGGGGGTTTAATCGCCTTTACAATGATACCAAATCAGTACAAAATTGTTTGAATTATAAGGTTTTTAAGTTTTCGAAAACCCGACTTTTGACCCCTTATAGCACCTGTAATATAAGTTTGCACAAAAAAGTTATATACCATTTAAATAAGAGCAAAAGGCGGACTACGCCTATATTTTTAGTTTTATTGTTATTTACAAATCATAATAAAAAATAATTTTTTACCAAAGGTCCCGTTTCGAACTTCGAAGGCCCATATCTCGATTTCGGAAGCTAACTTCGAAAATCGGAGAAACAACTTTTTTACCTATGACTCAATCTCTGAAAAAAAATTGGTTTAGTCCAATACACAGCCGAGTGCTGTACAGTGTAATGATTCCAGTATCTTCATTTATGTATATACTAATAAAGTTAGAAGGACGAAATTCGAGGATGTCATAGTTTACATATTAGTCTTTGACATATATTTTTTACAAAAATAAATATTGGAAATTTTCAAGGTTATTCAAGGATAAAGTTTTAAAAGGACATTTTCAACACTTATTCGTCCTGATGCACCAAAAAACGAAATGTTTTTTCAATTCTACAGAATTTTTCCTTTTAATTGGTAGCCATATTGTTACTCTACAATGTACCAAATCTTTTTAATAACTTTTTTATTCAATCATATTCTAGAAATTTCAAAGTCCTTTAAAAAAAATCCTGACGTCAGAGAGAAAAACTAAAAACGCAGTTATACTATATTTGACTCCTAGTTTTGTGGATATATTGATTTTTTCGTGTGTTTTACAAATTCTTGGTTTTTGTCGCATGGTGTTAAGACATATGTATTACCGACTGTGAAGTACGTTCGAACGCTTTGGGTTGTGCTTTTAGTTTTCTTCTTAAGTGGCAGCTGTTTGGTTTCAGTATTTGATTTTGATTTGCTCATATTTCGATTTTCGTTTATATTTCTCGGACATTCTGACCCTCTAATGGTTTCACTATTTCTAAAAGCGGCGGATAAAGCAACACCAGCCGTAATAGTATTTGAATCTTGGGTGGCAGTTCCAACAATTCCACCAGTTCGCTTTACTTGATCAAGATTAATATTGAAATTATCTTGAAACTGTTGGTCACAGCGGAAGCATGTTTTGTACCAGCCAGAAGGTGTTTTAAACAAGGTTTTGTAGTACATAGACGCGAATTTTAATTTAATTAATTTTACATTCGGTCCACAACGCTGGCAAGTTTCCGATAAAACTTTTGGCTCTAAGCACTCTTCTGATAGCCAAATGGTGTTCTTACAATCAGGAAAATTCATGCAGCCTATATAATAGCTGTTTTGGTTTTTTTTCTGCCGCAACGATAACGGAGCTACTGAACATTTTGGACATTGAAATAGTTCTCTTGTTATATTACCCCCATCGCTCCTCTGGCTTTCGTTTGTCGCAGGAGTTTCATTTATTCTACAAAGACATACATACGTAATTATTCAGAGATATCCATGGAAAAGTAATTAGTTTGAAATTACCGTAAAGACATTTTATTATCCATGGCGGTGACCTTTTCTGTAATTTGCTTGTACGCTTCCAAATACTTTTGAATTTGTTCATTCAGTACCGTCTTAGGATTTTTTTTTCCAGTGCTAATATCTTTTAAATCCGACTCAAATGCTGCCCTCAACATGGGTTTGGCTAAAGCCAGATCCATTGCATCATAGCCCTCATATAGACCCATTCCTATAATACCCGGTACGAGACAACCTTTGTCAACCACTCCGATGTATCCTGCACACGTATACATTGACATTAGAAGAGCGAATAAAAACTTATCAAACGATACCTCTTTCTTTAATTGTGTTTATATGTTCAGCATGAGTTGCATCAGTTCCAATGCCATGTTTTTCCATCAAAGCTATCAAATCAGCCTCTGTCAAAAGTGGTGGCGCAGTAGTGGCACCTTCTTGCATTGATATTTCTGTAGGATCAAATAACTGCCCTGTTTATGAAAATTTCGTTTATTGTACATAGATATTTTCCCATTTAATTATATTATACTAATGTCCCTATTCTGCATGTTACCGAACGGTAAATTTAAATCACTTTAACCGCAATTCTAGTAACGATATCAACGTACATATCTGTGTTCGTATGGAATAGTAGCTTCCCAGCAAACACAGTTCCAAACGTTTGGGAAAAATGTGTTTCATCATATCAAATGTTTTTCTCAAATGATTCTCAAATTGAAAACGAGGTTTAAATTTTACATTTGAAATTGATTTGAGGTTGATTTGAAGAAAGATGTCAAGTATCAAACGTTATAAAAATGCGCAGTTAAATCAAAAATTGTAAGAATAAAATTAAGATCAATTGAAAAAAAAAACAATAAATAGAAAAAATTTCAAAGAGAAAGCCCACAAATAGTGGATTTGATGTTTGTGCGGATTGAAAAAGCTGCAGCCCTTCAAGACGAATTTATTATAAATTACTTTATCTTAATTGTTTCTTTTGTTATGTACATACATATGTACATCGCGAAGAAAAAATAAATATGAAATATAGATTTCCTATTATACATTTTATTTCCACATTTGAAGTACATTTGATAAATAACCTTTGAAATTGATTTGAGAGGTAAGCAGATTCTCAAATGGAGATCAAACTCCCCTTTTTATTGAGAAAGCTGTAATTTTCAAATCAATATCAAATCATTTTCAAACGTTTGACATTTGATAAAGGCTTTGATTTCAAATCATTCTCAAATGTATATCAAACCTAATTGTTTGCTGGGTTACGTCGAAAGGCTGGCTTTAGTATATGCGCCATTCGCTTTATTCTTAAAATGACAAGAAATTTTTTGATTAGAATTAATAAGAATATTTTCTTGCTAGTATCGGAACTATTTCTTGAATATTTATTTGCCAAAAGTTCTTCAACGCCTCGGCGCCAGTGAGTCATTCGAAATCGTATGCTGCAAATAACGCATTATACTAAAGTCAGAATCCCGACATAAGCTACTACTCCATACGAACACGGAAATGTACATATATGTACATACACTAGGCATCATATAAAAGTATAAATGTCGCAGTTATTATTTTAGTACAGGTTTGTTAAAATAAATAAATATTAGTTCATATGATATTATTATATTTCCATAGGTATCTGAATAACAAAAACATAGTATATCCTTTATCAGAAATCGGACGAAAAATGGTAGATTTTTAATTTAAAAACAAGAGGGCATATCCATAGCCGAAATAAACTTATGTCAAAAAGATGCTACTATATTCAGAGTCGAGTTTGTTTTGATATGCCCTAATAATGATTCTAAAACAAAGGAATCGTCAACAGAAATTATAAACTCGCCAAAAAAAAACTCTGCTTTAGAACCAAATTTAGTAATTGGTATTTCCAGCTTTGCTTTAAAATACTACACGAACCCTTTTCTTTACTAGTATATATTTTGAAAGCCGTTTTTTTTTTGTGTGTTCGCAAAGCTCAAGAACGGCTGAGCCGATTTTCTGAAATTTCGGACACCTGTCGCACACGTCCCAAGGATGGTTAAGGGCTAAAAAAAAATTTCGATACCGTACAAAGGGGGCGTGGCACCTCCCGTACAAACCGAATTTTTCATCCTGCATATCTCTGGAAGTGTTCATGGTAGAGTTCTGGAACTTAGTATGGAGATATACGAAATCAATCGCATACTCTTGGAGAAAATTTGGAGGTATTGGAAAGGAGCGCGTGGCCCATACAAACCGAATTTTTCATACTGCATATCTCTGAACATGTTCACGGTAAAGTACTGGAACTTGGTATGGAAATATATAAAATCAATCGCATACTCTTCGAGAAAAATTGGAGCTATTGGTTAAGGGGGCGTGACACCTTCCATACAAACCGAATTTTTCATACTGCATATCTCTGGAAATGTTCATGTTAGAGGACTGGAGCTTAGTATGGAGATATATAAAATCAATCGCATACTCTTGGAGAAAAATTGGAGCTATTGGAAAGGGGGCGTGGTACCTCTCATACAAACCGAATTTTTTATACTGCATATCTCTGGAAATGTTCATGATAGAGGACTGGAACTTAGTATGGAGATATATAAAATCAATCGCATACTCTTGGAGAGAGTTTCCTTATTCACGGGCGTCACCCCAGCAAAAAAAAATAAAAATAATGCATATCCCTGGACATGTTCATGGTAGACTACTGGAACTTGGTATGGAGATATACAAAATCAGTCGCATCCTCTTTGAAAAACAATTGGAGCTATTGGTTAAGGGGGCGTGGCACCTACCATACAAACCGAAATTTTCATGCTGCATATCTCTGGAAATGTTCATGGTAGAGTACCGGAACTTGGTATGGAGATATACAAAATCAATGGCATACTATTCGAGAACAATTGGAGCTACGGCGTGGCATCTCCCATACAAACCGAATTTTTTATACTGCATACCTCTGGAAGTGTTCATGGTAGAGTATTGGAACGTGGTATTGAGGTATATGAAATCAATCGCATACTCTTTGAGGAAAATTAGAGCCATTGGAAGAGGCCGTGGCACCTCCCAAACAAATCAAATTTTTCATACTGCATATGTGTAACGCAGCTTTTCACTTAATACGACTGTGTTTGTGTGAATGTGTATCCGCCGGATGTGAAAGCAGCTATAAGTTCTGTGAGCCACCCAAAGTGAAAGCCAAGGGTGTGAAACCTTGCTGACCAGGCGGTTCGATAAGGCAGTTCTGAGCATGTATGTATGTATATGTGTATGTGTTAGTTAACTACCATTTGGGTAGGAATTAAGCTTCCTTTTTCTTTTTACCTTCTCTTTATTTCATTATATTCTACCCAGTCACCTGTGACTATTGCCTTTTGGTATAACTTGAACTTTTCCTTATTGGTTTCAGTCAATTGTCTATCATACCATTACTAGAAGTAAGTTTATTCATACTCGAAATCAAACTATGTTTAATATGCTCGAGCCTGTCATCAGGGCTGAGATTATTCAGGTCAGTAAAGTTGCATTGTCTCAAGAGGTGTACGAGGTTGTCCGGGCTGTATGCTTCCCAAGAAGTTATTTCTGACAGCTTATTGATAGGGCCTAGTTTTTTTTGTATTGCACCTAGACATTATAGTTTCGTGATCCGATATTTTGTGCTCCTCGGCTTTTTCCCATACAACTTCTTTTGAGTTCGAGTACAACAAATCGATCAGTGTAAAATTAATTAACTGTCGCATTGCCTGTTGAGCGAAGATCTCATTGACTCTCTTGATATATGTCGATACAATGTTTAGGTTTATATTAAAATCTCCAATAATAACAGTATTTACCAGATTCTCGCATATTTCCGATAATATGGCTTCCAGATACATATGACAAAAAATCAGCATCGCTTGCGATAGGTGAGTGATAAACCACCCCGATTTTCCATTTGGTATCACAGTTTTCTAGCTGTATAACTATACACCAGACATTTTTATCAATCGATCTATTTAATTTTATTTTAAAGTTTATTGTGTTTCGCAAGATTATCATTACACCGCCTGTATGTCTACTATGTGAGTCACACCTAATACACTGATATGTCGAAAACTTAATTTCTGAGTCATTTATTTCATCTGTTGTACATGTTTCAGAGCATATAACTATATCCGGATTAACAGTCTCAATAAGTCTTTCGAGTTCGGCTTGATTAGCTATTATACTATTTATTATAAGATACACACACTTTAAGTAGCTGTTACGCTTTTCCCTTATGCCTAATTGCTAGCATCCTACCCTTTGTTTTTCTAGTTTCAGTTTCCTAATATAGATATGACATTCACGACTAAATACGTTGTGCTCCACATCCAGATTCAGCCCTAACTCTTTAACAGCATCACAATAATTGTCACAAAGTTGTTTTTGGTCACTCTCAGTGCAACTCTCAGACTTGTGCTCTCCCATGCATTTGCTACACCTAAGCTTTTTGTTACAATTGTTAGAGCTATGGTTGAAGCCCAGACACTTGTAGCATCTTCTTACAGTTTGCCCATCATAGACGGGGCAACGATCCAACCCAATATTAACTCTCTTTGACTCCAATACTTGCAGGAAGAATTTATGCTCGATTTCTATTATTGCACTGAATGAAAGCCATGACTCACAACTACGCCCGGACTTAAATATTTTTACACACCTCAAACTTGCATAATTTAAATAGCTATTCTGAGCTTTTATCTTATTTATAATCTCCGTCTCAGAGTACTCAGCGTTTATGTGCGCTACCAAAATTTTTGGCTTATTAACTTTTGGTTCGGTGACATCATACACATCTTTATTTAAATTGTCTGCTAGAGCAGATTTTGTTTTGTCCTTATCTGCAACGCTATTTGCGGTTAATACCACTGCCCCATTGTTCTTATTAGACACTCTATCAATTTTCATATTGGATGCATTGATCTTATTAAGGTCCACCCTAGTCTTCTCAGCCGCTTGTTTATTTTTCGGTCTGACAATTATAGGAGGAATACGCTTCGCTAATTATTTCTTGTTTTTGTTTGCATAGCTCACTAGTGAATGAATCTACTCTTTCCATTTTCTCTTTGTTTACTTTACAAATCCCCTCTACTCTTTTTATAACCTGTAGTTTCTCCTGATTTGCCTTCTTTATACTATCAACCAACATTTTTACCTCCTTGCTGTGATTTTTTAACATTTTCTCTATATCTGTCTTCTGTTCTATAATATTCATCTTGTTAGCCTCAGCAATACCTATCATTTCTCTCAGAGCTTCATCCACATTAGCTATGTACATCATGCAGTTTTCGCACATGTAGCGCAAAAGCGGACAGTGCCTTTAGGCTGTAGTCATCAGCCGACGCACATGCCTGCGTTCTATGGTACACTTTCCCGCACACACCTTGACAACGTACACCCGACTCTCCTCTGACGCCTTTTCGCCATTTCGCGCATTCTGACATCTTTGCACTCACTCAGCAGCCGCTAAGTACGTTTGGATGAATAT